CTCTCTCTAGCCCCCATCCCCCATACTCATTTGGGGTTGGCTATTCCCACCTTGCCCTCCCCAAGAACATGGCAAGCTCGCACTCTCTTTGCGGGCCAGTTCCTACACAGTCTTTTCCCACTTGTGTCTTTACGTTGGCAGCCAGACAAGCTTTTTTGTGGATCTACTATAGTGTCAGAAAGAAAGCTGCAACAATAGAAGATGGTGTGGTAGTCACTTAATAAACAGGTTAAAACATGTAGGAAAATACTGAATGTGTATTAAATCCAGTGTATCAAGCTGGTTAATTATGCTAGATTTAAGAGCTCTATCAATAGCTGTTAAGAATTATTTAATGCTTTAGATAAAGTGCCTTCAAAATCTATTTAGTTTAGGGACAACATGCAGGGGTGAATTCGAAATAGGCTTCAGAGTTGAACCTTCCAAAACCTACAAAATATCAGTGTATCTGCCCCTCCACATTATCTATGAGCTAAGAATAATCACCATAGTATGCCTACAAAAAAATATAACCCCACACCATGTGTGGATGTGTGTATTACCTGACGTTCAATATGAATGAAGAAAACACAGGAAGACAAGGATCTGCCTTCTGTTCCATCAGAACCCACAGGACATTTCAAAAGTACACAGACAAAATCACCAAACAAAATACTACTCTCAAGAAGAAATCTCTGATTCTCTCAGCTCCCTCTGCTCCAGTCCACCCAGCCCCAATTTACTCCTGACATACTCTATGCTGGCAATTGAGCTTTCTCCAGCCTGTAAACCTTAAAAGCAGTATCTTGAGCTCTGTGAAAATCTTGCTCTCAACACCTCTAGATTCACAATACCATCACTATAAATTTCCATGCATAAAAATGAAACCCAGTACCTGTCCTTCCTTAAGGTGGGAATTATTCATCCAACTTCTGAAACACGGAAGCTGTGTTAATACACATAGGATGCAGCACTACCAACCCCTAATAATGAATCATCTTATTCCCAATCTAAAACCAGTGCAAACTGGCCACAAACAGCTTCTGGTTTCTTCAAGGAACGATTACTATCCACTCTTGTCCACTCTGAAGCTGTAGTATCAAGATCACCACCACACTAAAAAGGAGTTTTGGACGTCCTGTCATTAGAAGACCAACAATGCTATACCAGGGACAACTCAGTTTCCCATTTCTTGAATTTCTGTATCAGTATTCTAACTCAACCCTCCCACTATTTCTAAGGCAGAGGAAAAATTAAATTCTGGCTTTCCCACTTTCTGAAAGTTTTAAGTGCCACATCACATTTTTTCCCCCAAATACAGCAGCAGAAATGACGTTGGTTCACCAAGACCTGAGAGAAGGAATACTGAATATAGCACCAGCCAACAGGACCAGTAAGGGAATTCATATAGAATGACAAACTCGTGGCCCAATTTTTAGACTTCCCTATCCAAAAGACTTTTCTAAACCTCTGTTGAAACCATGCTGGTAGTGGTGGCATAGAAACACAGAGGATAATGCAACTTTGACGATACAATATGTGGTAAAATTGTTCACAAAAAGGAATGGCTAAAGCAGATGCACTGTAGGAATGGTATTTAATGAAATAAATACTTAGAACAATACTGCAGGTCTCCATTACCAACGATATAGTCCTTTCTAGCCAGAAAAAAACAACATCGGAATAAGAAGTAGAACCAACTCAACAGGCCCACATGAAGTCTTTTTGCTCATCTACTTAAGATCTTACACTTGTTAAGTATTCAAACACCGCTTCTCAGCCTATTCTCACAACACTCAGGATTCTCAAGTAATCTTCCAAACAAGTACTGGCCACATCACAAATCCAAAAGCCATTTATTCCAGCTTAGCCATAACTGATGTAAAAGATGAGTGCCATACCGTAGAAAAAATTACATTATTTTCTACATTAATAAAATAACTGAATAAGCTTTTTATGCAGAAACTTTCCCTTGAGGAATCTTGGTCTCAGAAGGACAAGAGAGATTTGAAAGGAAAAACTGCTCCATTTAAAAAAAAAAGGGGGGGGGGGGCGCGAGAAAAACTCCTCTTCAGGAGGAGCCCATCTGGACTACACATACAAGTGTATGTAAAAATTTGAAGTGCTTCCACTGAATGTGACATTTGGAGATTGCTATGCAACTGTAAATCACTCTGAGATATATGGCACTGTTTTTAAAAAGGATTTTTAGTGTCATTAATACCTACTTTCAGATTAAAACAGACATTAGAGTTTTGGCACATCACAGAGCTCATAATTTGGGCATGAAATCTCAGCTGCCTTAATGTGTTGGAAGCCCAAGGCGTAAGGTGGTTATAGTTGCACAATCATCTTCTGAGGTAACCTCTCCCTCCTTACCTCCCAGGGGCAGCTCAAGTTTCAGATGGAGAAGGTAATTGTTCAATTCCAAGTTATATCCCCTTCTTAATCTCCAACTGATGACTGCAGCTGTAACAGCATTATAACAAAAAGCAGTATAATTTGAAACACTTACACATCCGTCTCCAGTTTTTCCATTGGCAAAGGGCAGATATTTTCCTGCCACTTCTTGGACCATGAGCTCCTCTCCTCCTATGCCTGTATTAATTCGGGCCCACTCTCTCTAATGTTTTGCGTAGAGACTCTTCACTGAAGTAGAGGGGATCTGCATGGGCAGGTATAACGTTGACACTGCTGTCACCGAGAGCTCCGACCCGCCTGCGGGGTTGCAGATCTGCACCTCACCCAGAGAAAGGACAGGCCACTGCCCTCCATCCCTGGAGGGGGAGTGGGGGCTGCGGTGAGCCAAGTGAAAGAAGCAGGCTCCTCCGGTGAGGCTGGCTCTACATCCTGCTTCATCTCCTGTCAGAAACAGAGCTAGACCCCAACTTCAATCCTCCCTGCTACAAGACAGTGCTGATAAGGACATGGTGGTTAAGCAAGACTAAGATCCAGCCGATGGCCACAGAAGCAAGAATGGGTAAGAATGACCTTTCTTTCCCTGCATCCTGTCCCTTATGGGTGAGTATCTGGGTCATCCGGAGACAGTGATCCTCTCCTTACTGCAAAGGGACTAGAAGCTGTATCTGGAGACGATGGGTCTCTTTGCTCTCTGCACACAGTACTGTACCTACAGGATACACAGACTTGTCCCTGTCTCCACCCCCGCCCAAGCCTTCCTTCCTCCATCACATACCCAGAAACAGAGGGGCATGCCCGAATCCGGAAAACAGAGGGTTTCATTTCTTCACTCCTCTCAACAATGTGAGACCCTTCCAGAAATGCAGACACGGACTATGACTGACAGTTCATAAAAAGGAAATGCCATGAACACAAGGATATCAAACCGGCAATACCTCTGCTAAAGATTCACCCACCTCACACCATGCCCACAGAAACAGCAGTGGACATGGACAAGTGGCCATCCCCTGCGGCTCAGCTCCTCAGGCAACAGCTCCCGGAGCTGCTGGTCTGAGCCACTGGTCTAGGTGAAGAACCCACTCCAGTCCAGTCACGGTGTAAACACACTCAAGTCTTCAGTAAATTTATGCTGATAAAAAAAATAAAACCCTACTTAACCTATTAACTGCAATAAGGCTGTTTCACTTGATTTGGATACCCTGGGAACATGTACAGGCCTTATTCTGAGCAGATGTATGGCAGCCTTAAACCACTTAAAACCACTTAGAGCTTGAAGTTTAAAAGTGACCAGACAACTCCAATTTCTGGGATTCCCAGAGCACAGGTAATTTTGTTTAGTGGATAATGTTCTTGCAGGCTTTTAGGCTTATTTTGCAGAAACTGAATGTGCCAAGATATGCACGCAATTTAACATCATTACACTTGAAAGGCGGGTTCAGTCACTTCACAGCAAAGTAAAAGCTATTTTCTGAGCAAGACTGAGAACAGAATCACTTCACAACAGTATCACCACAAATCTTCAATAGATTATTCCTCTTCCAGCCCACCTCACACCACCCCTTCAGATCTTAATCTTTACTCACCCTAATTATCACCAAGAATAAGTTTTACAAGAGAGTCAATCTGGCAAAAACAAAACTAAAAAAGCCTGCAAGTTGAAACATGTGGTTGGATACAAAGAAATCAAATCGGAAACTACCTCAGTGATTTTCCAAGGCCAGATCAGTTACAGTGGATGACCAAATACAGGAAAAAAAATAATCTCTAGCTAATATTTATAAATAGTTACTCCTGTTGCTAAAGCTTGTGTGTTAAAAAGCTGCTGGGGCTATCAGCATCCTTCTGAAGAGACTAATAACTGAATTCATCCACGTACTCTTCCCACATAAACCAAGGTATGGATCCTGATGCAAGGTATCTACGGACAGTCTCACAACAAACAACGATACTATATTCGCATGCAAGTTGTGCCTACCTGACCATTTTTAAACCTGGAACAGTGAATGTGGCTCTGCCTAACAATACTCTGCTGTTTGCATTATACACACTAGATTTAGTTTTCTTCAGCTGGAAAACAAAACTGCATTGTAACACTGGCATTAGGGTGGTATAGAGCTCCCTCAGGGAAGTTTAAACAGCCTCAAAGAATAGATGTCTTTTTTATATAAAAAAAGATCACTGAAAGAGACACATTGAATACTACATATGAACTCCAAGTGATTAATGAAAGCCTAATATTTTATAGCTTTACTCAAAATTCAGTGAGGTCAGCAGAAACGTGTGATGTGTTTTATGTGCCAACGGAAAACAATGCTCTGCTATGTATTATTATGTTTTATTATAAACCAACAGTAACGTGCAAAAGTTGATCGTAACTCTTCTGGGATCCTGCCCCACAAATACCACAGGCAGTTCCTATCTGAGCAGCTCGCGCTGGAGGGAAGCTCCATTAGCCTCTCTAGATTAAGGATTTCTCTAATGGAGCTGGCTGCTCCCTCTGGTCACCACTAAGCAGATAGAAACACATCCTGAGCCCACGCTGCTCCGGCACCCCACCTTCACAGCATATGTTCTTGAAGAGCAGGAAGCAGCAACTGCTTAGCAGCGAGGAAAAAAAAAAATCCTACTCCACCAAATTTATCATTTAACACCCTTCCCCCACTTCCCAAAACCGCATAAGACAAGTATATTTAAAAGATTTTTTTCCCCAGTTTTGCTCACTACTTTATAGTCCTCTCCTTCCCAAGGAGAAATCCCATGATCCCTTCTTTAGATTTACAGGCAGGAACAAACAATTTTTGTCTCTCTCATTTATCAGCATACTCGTTTCCTCTTGCACTGTTCCATAAAAATCCCCTTGCATCCTTGTGTAACCTCTGCACATGTTGGCAAACTGCTCACAGCCTGGGAAACTTTTTCCACTGAATTTCCTTTTCACACCAGTAAAAGCTCAAGAAAAAGACCTGAAAACCTCTCAGGTCTTCACACTGACTCTGCTGCTCCATTTGTCCTGATGATACATACTGGGATGAAGAAACCAGCCCAGTAAAACTAGCTGCAGACCTCTTAGAAAGTAGGAACTGCAAACCACCCCAGTGCACGGCCTCGCTGGGAGAGGAGTGGTTTTGCTCAGGAACACAAAAGACTCTGAAGGCAGGTCTCTGTGAAAGGGGAGGCAAACTGGCAAGCAAACTACAAATACTCTTCTCAAAGCCACTTCCCCTCTTCCATACCTGCCGACTCCACTTCAACAATCCTATTATGAAATTTTAATCAGACACATTTGAGACAACTCTGCATGGCTTTCCCCTCTCCCCCCGCAGCCCCAGGTACCTACCCAGGCACCGCGCTGGGCAGCACCTCCTCCCCAGACCCCTTCCCTCACGGACCAGGCATGGCTCCCGGCTGGCAGGCAAGCCTCCACGTCAGGGAGCGGGACCGGGCCAAGAGAGGAGCGATGGGGCCCCAGCTGTGGGCCAGGGCAGCATGTGTGGGGTGCGGGCGGCACCCGCCTGGGCTCCGTCCTCGGCACAAGTGGACAACGCTGGCGGAGCAGGGCATGGGACCCCGCAGCCCTCCGCGACCGACTGTCCTCCTCCCGCACTAATCCGCGCCGCTGTGCCAGCTTAGGGGATATAATTAGACTCACAAAGGAGCCTTGTTACACTCCCCGCCAAGAGGCCGTAGCAGTTTTGATTAGTCATACCAGCGACTCCGGAGAACGTCGCCTGCAGAGCTCGGTGGGGTAAAGTTGAGTGAAGCCCAAAAACTGAAACCAGAGGACTGCTCCTGGAAGGCGGGGGGTGGGGTGGAATTTTTATTTTTAAACTTAAGTGGTGTTTGACATGGCACATTGAAAATACACTGAGATGCTGCTGAAACTGCATCAGTCGTCAGTTTTCAGCTATTCCATTCTTGCCTTTGCCACCTTCTAAGCAAATACATGGGTGAATAGACCAGTCTGGGGCACTACATTGTAAAGAAGTTAATGTCACCTATGAGATGACATATCTGCTCAAGGAATAAAGCGAACAGAAAATCTCCAGAACAACCTGGGCCTCTTAAGGTCTGATGGGCTGTCAATAGCATTTGAGAGTTATAGAAGGTTTTCCTATACATTAAAACTAACCAGCCAATCTTCTCAGGGAGCAGCACTTCCCCCAAAAGAGAAGCAGCTTGTGACATCCCTACAAATAACTAACCTCAGTACTCAGAAGGCATTGTAAATTATCGCCTATGGAGAAAAGTGGCAGGTACATCCTTCTATCCCCCAGGCAGACTGACATTACAAATTCTGGGGAATTCATTCAAAGGACAATTTATTTTAATAATCTTTTTGGGAAAAAAGCTTTATTCCATAGTCACACCATTAATCCCCTGCTGCTGGCCAGATTTGCACATGTAAGCTTGCTACGGTTGCTGACCATGATCATGCCTGAGAATGTAAAGGACACAGTAACAGGCTGCACAGAGTTTATTTGGGGGAAAATGAAAAAGATTAGTTCCGCTGTATCCTTTAGTATCAGCCCAGGAGAATGGGAAGGAGAAACTTTCTGCTCATACACAGGCATAAATGCCAAGACCAGGTTTTACTTACGTTCACTGACCCATCACACTAAACATACAATGACTATACATTTTTATTGGTTCTGTGCTGTAACACAGCAGACTGCCACGGGAAGCCGACTGCACCACAGCATCCTTACCAACTGATTGACACACACCCTGCGTATGAAGAAAATGAACGGCTTTCCACAGGTCAAAGGAGGACGTGCTTATAATTGCAATGGAAATGCTGGAAGTACCGGGGATTGGGATACAGAAATCCTCAAACTTCAGGAAGGAGGAGGAGGTTGGCAAGGTAAGGAGTGGTCTTATTTTACACAGGCATCTTTGGATTTTAATAAGAAATCTAGTTAAGACAGCATATGGCAGAATTACACAATTACAAAGAAGTCCAATAGCTCCACTGTGTGAGCTTGCTGAAAGTTAGATGGCCTATGGCTAAAACTTTTCCAGTCAGACTGCAACACTCTATCAAAAAATGACTGCATATCATATAAAAGTGAGAGTATTGATTTCTCACAGACGCTGAAAGCTAATATAATGAGGTTTTTTCCGGAAGCGATCTGAATAAAGATAACCTATCATGATCCCTTGCTTATCTACAGTAATACACACGCAGATGTACACATGTGCGCACTCAGTCCAGAGAAAGACAAACATTTGTTTGAATGGCTCACTTTTCTAACATTTTTTTTCTGAAAAAGTCTAAACACCATGGAGTTATTGTTGTGTGAGTGAATATGCAAAGCCCAGCTGAAAAATACTATTCTATACTTGGTGACTTATTTAGCAAAATAAGTAAAATCAAGTGGAAAAAAGAACTTTTTTCCTGAATTTCCAGCAGCAAGTGCCTCTTCATTCTAGATAACAGAAGAATAAATTGCATAGAGTATTATTGAATCCACTGTTTGAAGAAGTATTAGAATTACATTGGTACAGTGGTACAAAAGATGGAAAACAA